TCTTTCCCTCCTCTCTTCCCTGAAATTCAAGGCTCTTGAGATCTGCCAACAGAGGAACTTTGTAGAAGAGACAGTCTACCTGCTGAGTAAGTAACACTTAGTGTAACAAATTACAGCATGCTTTTAATCTTGCCAAAGTTTATGCTGTGAAAATGTGATGTATTTTCTAATATAATTTAACATTCTTTCCCAGAGACAAAGTTGGTTGGACCAAATTACATGATTTAGAAAAGAAAACAAAGCACTGGAGAATTCTTATGTCTTAACTCTATATATGTTGTTGTTGTGTTTCTGATACGGTGTTTTCCTGTGGTTTTGGAGGTGTTGGGGGACTATAGAGAACAGATTGGGGCAGGGATGTATTCTTGAGACAGTCTCTAGGATAAGAGTGCTATTGTCCTTTTGAAGAGAGAGAAGAAATAAAACAAGTGGTTTATTCTGAATACACCTCAGGAGCATCATTGTCTTTTGCTGAGGTGGAAGTTTTGCTTCTGACGCCTCTTTTTTTCTTAATAAAATCAATTGTAAATTAACTCTACCAATAGGCAAAGGAACTTGTTTTAGTAAGAAGAATGTTTTGTGGACCACTTGAGAGCAGAGTAGAATTTACTTTTAGGTTTACTTTAAAAATAGTTCAATGTTTCTATTAATTCTTCTTCTAACTTTCCCTGGATGTAAACTGTGCTATACTTACTGCAAATTAAGAGCGTTTGTGCTGCTCTTAAAGGAAGTATACCGTGTCATAGTTTACAAACATACATAGACACACATTCCTCCTTCCATTAGATGTTGCTGCAGTTCAGAACCCCTACTATAACCCAGCACATCCTTAAGAAAGGCCCCAGGCTGTAGTCCAGAAAAGTGCTTCAAGGACTTCTTCAGGTTATACTGATTGCTCTGGGATTTGCATTCCTACATCAGGTTAGATTACATTAGACTTAGTATTGGTTGAATTAGTCTGAGACAACTTTAACCCTAGAAAATTCATATTGAAGGAGCTTCTTAGAGCCCTGAGAATTGATAAGCATTTAGAATTTCTAATATCTTTACTTATTTTTTCCTTCTAGGCAGAATGGGTAACAGTCGCAGTGCCTTGAAGATGATAATGGAAGAATTGCACGATGTAGATAAGGCTATTGAATTTGCCAAGGAGCAAGATGATGGAGAACTTTGGGAAGACCTCATTTTATATTCGATAGACAAACCACGTAAGAGAGAGTTTCTCAGGAGCCTTGCATGTGTTTTTTTTTTTTTTGTGGAATGCTATTGCAAGAAGGATTGAATTAGCCACGTGCACATTAGAGAAAGTGTTTATGGGTGGCCAGGGAGGTGTTCTCATTTGTGGAGCACAACATAGTTGTCTTACTGCACATAAAAACTGCCGATAAGGCAGCGTGTGGGCATGCTACAAAATGAGTACTTGGGGGTTTAGATTTGACTAAGCCCAGCATAGTTGTGCCCTTAATGACAAATTAACGGGAGAATAGTGCTTTTAATTTGGCAGAATGAGGCTCTTTTTTTAGACAGTCTCAAAACACAGTGTGCAGGCTTGATGAGGATGTTGTGTAGTGTGTTTATTGCAGCTGCTTCCCTTTGAAATTCTGAAAATTAAGAACCTAGACCTTTCTGCCCTTTAGCAGAATAATTAATTTGTTTTGTTTCTGTGCTCCAAAGATCTGTAATAGTAAGTGCATTTTGCATTTCATCCGTTATATTCATAGCTCCTCAAGTTTAAAGCTTATATTGAATCACTAACTGTCAGAATCTCATAAACAACATCAGTTTTGTTCAGGAGGAAGATGCAAAGAAGTTCGTACAGCTGAGAAAAGAGAGAAGTATTTTATCTATCTACTCCATTAGTTTTTCAACCTCATCTGGGGCTTTAAATCTGGACTTTAAAGTCTCTATTGGGATCTCTTTTCCAAAGCATTTAATGTCTTATTGAATTAGTGTCAGAATACGTATCTTTTAATCTCTTGGCTGCTAATTCTGTCAGGCAGATGCAACCAAAATCTGTTACTCCTTTAGAGGAATGACATTCTCAGGTTACCCATGTAGTTCATCACTAAAAGTGATACTACAGTCAGTGACATCTTTAAAGCAAAAGGGACTCAAAGCATATTGAATAAGTTCCATCTGCCCACATGCAGAGCAAATCCAGCAATATTCCTCAGGTCTAGTGGTGCAATTAGCCAGGTGCAATTCAAAGAGCAAAACATTTATTTTGTGTCACTTAGCAATTTTCAGAAGCATGTTTGAGTTAGGTTAATTTCTTGAATTATTTTTTTTTTAACCTCAGGAGCTGGAAATGGAATAGTCACACAATGTAGTTACTTCTCTGGCCTTGTTTTCTTGGAGTGACCTTTTTATCAAATTGAAATGCCTTTTTTTCTTGTGACATTGTACTGGATACTTGGTAACCCCTTTTCTGCAAACCCAAGAAGTTCTGTGAGCTGCCAAACTGTAACTTCCCCTCTTACCCTAGGTCTGTATTTGAGTAAATACAGCTGCAAGAAACATATGAAGACTGTATAGAAAAGGCTTAATGTTATCTCTTAGTACAGAACTAATTAGAATAGAATTAGCCAAAGTCTGTAGTTTGTCACCAAAGCATCCTTTAATCAGGTATTTGGCTGGATTTTTTTCCTTAGTTCCTTTTTCTCTTGGATTTCACAGCTTTTATTACTGGATTGCTGAACAATATTGGAACCCATGTAGATCCCATTCTTTTGATCCACCGCATTAAGGAAGGCATGGAGATTCCTAATTTGAGAGACTCACTAGTGAAAATTCTTCAGGACTACAACTTGCAAGTAAATGTTGCATTCTTCCTGTGATACTCATTTTCAGAGAGACAGCGAAACCATTTTGCTACTGGTTTTCTCTTGTTCTTTTTCTTCACACAACTGTCGTTGACTCTGTGGGTGGGTACAAAAATATGACAGAGTAGAAATTTGTCAAGATGAGAAGTCTCTTCTCTTGACGGCTCCTAGCATTTCTAATTCTCTCCCATGCTGCCCTAAATCTGACGGATAAGTAGAACTGAAAGGGTCTTGGGTGGTTCAGACTAATTTTATACTGCCCAACTGTCCAATATCAGAAAGTCTCATGACTAGTACTTTTTGCTCTGTTTCATATGTGAAGAGACAGAACACAGCATGCACTCACTGATACATTGACCAGATATTAGAGCCATACGTTAAGTGTCATACTAAATAAAGGAAGATGAACTTTTAAAATAAAACCCATGTTCGTTGTGTAGAATGTGTTGAGGACCTCTCATTGTATTATGGGATTTCATACCCCAGTATAATTCTAGAGATATGTGCACTTCCATACAGGACTGGTTTCTGATGTGTGTTTATAAGAAGTTTCAACAAGCATACCCTTCAACGTTCCTGAAAGTAACAACAGAGAGTTGCGTTGCACCCACTAAATCTCCCTGCTACCAAGGAAGCCCAAACTTGAGCTCTCTATGATGCTGCATTGCACATTTCTTCTGAGAGACATAAGGATACAGAGCAGTTTGAATGTCTCTGGTGTGACTATGCAGAGTCCAAGAAAACAAAGCCTAGTTAGTAGCTGAAACTCCAATTTTCTGAACCTCATAAACACTTTGTTTCCTGTCTGCTATTATTGTTTGGACATCAGTAAATAAATGGACTTGATGGTTTTTATAAGGTCATGTTTGGTCTCTTAGCAGGCAATATAAAGCCTATATTTGTTAGATCCTTCAATGATGTCAGATGGGCTTTTAAAAAGGCAGGGTTTAAGCCTTTTCAAGGCTTTTCCATTATTTTATTATCACACGAGTTTTAGGTTATAACTTTCACTGTTTCAAAGAAGCATTTTACATGTCGTCTTCTCCTGGCAGTCGTTTATGGTCAAAGAGCTACCCCAGATAAACAGATACATGCCTGTATATCATGCATGTTATAACATTACTTCAGTTTTTAATTGACTTAATGACATGCCAATATCCTTCCAAAATTATACTAGCTAACTAGCATGCTGCATTTAAACAGTTGCATGTTAATCTTGCTGCTGTGAGTACCCTGCTGCTTGCACTGCTGATGCTCCTGTTCCTGCATTCTCTTGAAATCAAAATGTAATTTTTGGTCTGTGTGCAGTTTTACACATTATGCAAATTATATTGTGTGGCTTCAAACAATGCTGATGACATTGTCTGGGGAGGGAAGAATAATTTTTTCTTCAAGTACCTTTTAACAAAATTGCTTTGGGCTGAAAAGGATGTATTTAACCTTCAGAGTGATATCTAAAATTATTTGCTGCTAGCATTGACATACTTCATTATTTCAAATTAATTCATTTTGAAGTAGACTTGGATAACTCTAGGGCTAAAATTGAGACCTCATAGGAATAATAGAAATTCGGGAAGCTTAATGTAAATTGCACTTGGCTTGCTTGTACAATAGCAAAAGAATATAGTAAAAATAAAAGGAGGGGATGACAACACTATTTTTCTTTATAGAAATATAAGAAATGGCCTGAACTTCAAGTAAACATCATCTTGTTGAGCCCAACTCTGCCCAACTCTGAATGGCTTCATCATTAGCTGTTTTAAAGCTAGCTTTGGTGTTTTATGTGTGATTCCTTGTTACACCTTCACCTCATGTTGTGTAGGTCCATGGGGAGAAGTCCATGCCCTCTACTCTGGCCTGGTACAACTCTTTGTATTTTGGTAAAAACTTCTTGATTTGCATCACCTAATGTACCAAACGTTTTGAACTCATACAGCAATCCAAATTTCATTGGCTAGGACTTGTGTATTCATCTCCAAGATGGTTTTTTTTGAGACTCATACAGAACCTCTGTTCCCATTATCAATTTACCAATGTAATTATTTCTTAAAAATCCCTTAGCCAACACAATTAGGGCAGCAAAGCTCTTACTTGAAAATTGTAGCAAAATCAGCATTTCCTAGTATTCCTAGGCAAAATATAAATTGAAACTTTTTTTTTCTGTGCTTCTGATGTTGGTTTAATGCAACTTCTTTGATCTAAAACTCATCAGCAATGGTTTGATATTAAAAAAGACCGTCTTTCTCAAATGTACCCTTGAATTTTTATTTGCCTTTTATATTCAGTTCAGAAATTAAATTGAAAAAATACAAAATTGTTTGCACGTGTATAAGTCTCTGGTATATTACCCCATGGTCCTAACTTATTATTTGTTTTCCCTAGATTTACAATATAAAAGCAACGTATTTAGATGTACTACCTCTAGCTTTTCTGGATTAGCCATTTTGCTCAAATGTTGACTTACAAGTTTCAACTTTTATTGAACCTGCAGTAACTGATGAGTAACATGGATGCATCCATTCATAGCATTTGGCTCCATGCATTCATAGCAGGGGTTATGAACCCTCACGATAAACTAGTGAATGCTCCTTGGAATACCATCTGGAAAAATCGTTGGGTTTTGCTCCTGAATGTTAATAAGCTGCTGTTCAGACACCTTGGAGACGCTAGAGGGCAGATGACAGCTTGCACAGAGGGACAGCTGCCTTATGCTTGTAGACTAAAAGTAATGTGCTTTTAATTGTGGTTGCAACAGTTTGGAAGCATTTGGTGGATTTGCCTTGAGAAACTTGGACTTGAGTGCTAAACTGAATCAAGGCCTGATTTGATTCCCAGTGCTTTGAGTATACCCTTCAAATTAACTGCAAATCACAGTGTTTTCTGTTAATGTTAGGCATTTGTAAATAAGGACTTTTATTAAATAGATGTTTTTATGACTTCTGGTTTTAGTTATACGGTTGTGTCTTCCCTCAAAATCCCTCAGAAGAGGAATTGTGAAGGATGCTATAAAATCCTTCCCCATTGTATGTTGTTAAGACAAGCTCATAGGAAGAAGAGCATAATTTATGACAATAGTATATTTGTAAAGGGTTTTCTTTTTTTTTTTAGAGTTTGGGTTTTGTTTTTTTAAAACATAATGTTGGTTTTTCATTTAAGTAGAGATGGTGATAACAGGAGGTTCGTTCTTTCTCTCCTTTAAAATAGCTTGAACGTCTTAAACACTCGTTACACTCTCTGGCAACAGAAACCCAGTGGAAACTTGCCAAGGTAGCTGATATGCCCATCTACTCGACAACCACTGCATTTTATGTTCTTTGCACCAACAGATCTTGCTGCGGGAAGGCTGCAAAAAGATCCTTGTTGCTGATTCTCTTTCTCTGTTGAAGAAAATGCATCGAACTCAGATGAAGGGTGTTCTAGTAGATGGTGGGTACTGAACAAACCTGGTGACTTTCAAGGTTTTGAAGTCTTTTACTGGGTTTATAAAACCAAGCCACATGACTGCTTTGCAAGCTGCCCAAAAGCTGCACTATTGTACCTTATTTGTAGAGCATAATAGGATACTCGCTGCTTTTCCATTTGCAAAGGAACTACTCATAGATCAAAAAATAAAAGACCCAGCATGCAGCTTTTTCTCTTGATCAGCCTCTGCACAGCGAGTGATGTATTGTTTGTCTACAAAGGTGAAAAGTGCTCTTCAGAGCCAACACAGATAGTCAGATAATAACAATCTGAAATCAAAGCAAAAGCTACAAGATCATTCAGAAAGAGTGGAAAATACATTGCAAGGTGCTAATGATGCATGTGAGCAGTGCTGTAGTTTGCACCAGCTGAGTGTTAATACCAAGAGGCAAAGGCTGACAGAAGGACAGAGGATCAGAGCTGCTGCTACAAAATGCTGCAGAGGTATCAGGTACCCATCCTGTGCTCCTATTTTCAGTTTGCCTTGTGGCCCTACAGCACTGATCCTAAGCAGCCTCACTCCTGCCATTCTGCCATCATCACAATCAGATCTAATAATTTCTCATGCTGTTAACATAAATGCTGCTTCAGTATCACTCTTCAATTTTTAATAGACTCTATTGGGCATCTTAAGTAAATCCAAACTCAATTTCTGTAGCAGCAGTATGTTCATGCCCACTTTATAAAATGTAAATGTGGAGTTTGTTAACAAAGCTGTTAATCTATGTTTTTTGTTGCTCTTTCAGAGGAGAATATCTGCGAATCATGCTTGTCTCCAATACTTCCTTCAGGTAGGATGCTTTCCTAGAAGCGAAAGAGTTTGGGGATTTTTTATGTTATTTTTAGAGGAACTAGTTTGCTTTTATTCATAGGAATGTGTAGTAGTCTCCCTTGGTAATCACTGTATAGTATCATTCTCCTGTGCAAGGCTTGATTGTGAATTCTGACATGGGAGTGGAGCTGAGTTTGAACTTTTTGTTGCAGAAAACCTAGATTTATTTTTTTCTTACTCATCTTTGACTTTCTTATTTTCTCTTTTGAAATACATGGCATGAAAGTCAACTTTTAACTCCGTCAACATATGTATTTTCAAAGATTACTATTGCCATAAAACTAATTTGTTCCCAACAAATCTTGTACGACTCTCTTGAACAGTTAGACTGAAAGTGTAAATTATAAAGTTTCATGGAATATATTTTTGTCTGAGTGTAGGAAAACTCTTTGCTTCAGTCACTGCTGTCATATTTGAAGTGACTTAAAACAGACTGTACTTCTAAAACATCATCTGAAGTTTATTTTGAAACTGGAAATTCAGGATATTATTTCTAAGATGTACATTCTGTGAGACAACTGTAGTTCAGAAATACTGATAGCATTGTTGGACATCTTAAGAAGAAAGTTTTACTAGAATTATAGAATGGCTAACGTTGGAAGGGACATTAAAGGTCATCAGGGTTCCAACCTCCCTGCTATGATTAGGGACACCTCACATTAGACCAGGCTGCACAAGGTCTCATGCAACCTGGCCTTGAACACCTCCAGTGAGGGGGCTTCCACAGCCTCCGTGGTCAACCTGTTCCAGTGCCTAGGAGAGTATCTCTCAAGGCATTTTCAAACAAGGATACTTAAGAAGAAGTATATGTATGGACCATATGTATATATGTGCCCAGTGTGTGTAGCCCATAGAACCACAGTTTTATAAGCAGGTTTCTACTGTTTTTCACTTAAATAAATTCCGCTATACTGTGATCACAGTATAGATCACAGTGTAGAGTTCACAGCAGTCACATGGTTATAGAAAACCTGCCAGAGCTGGATGTGGTAGTGTCTTGAGGTACTTGTGTCAAGGAATGGGAGCCAAGGAATCTAATGTGGATGATGCTGATGAATGAGATGGTTATTCTTTGGCTATGTGGGTGTTGTATGTGGGCTTCTAATTGAGCCAAATGTTAATGTGGGAACTGAAAGGCACATCCCGCAATCAAGCAGCTTCTTGCCAAATTTCAAGTTGATGCAGAGTAGGTGCTAGAACTGCTTAATGATCTGGTTCTCCCCGCAGTATTGCAAGAATTCTTTTGCTAACTTTTCTTCAAAATGACTGAATTATTTGGTGGTAGTTCACTCTTCTCCCTCCCCTGATTTAGCATGTAGCATGTATTGACATGAAAACTGTCTGCTGCGAAGGTATACAGCGTTTAAGCCACGGAATACAGTTGTCTTGTAACTCCATCACTGAAACACATTACCTGAAATGATCACTCTCCATGGTTTCTATAAATGACCCAAAATAACTTGAAAATTGATTTGAGATATGTTGCTTGATGTTTCTATTTGTATAGTAGAATGCAGGCACATACTGCTCTAGCCCCTGGATCTGCCTTTCTGTAACAAATTCACTTTTCTCTTTCCCAGATGCATCCAAGTCCTTCAACGTGGTGGTGTTCCACTGCAGACATATGTTTCACAAAGAGTGCCTCCCCATATCTAACACAGTAAGGAATAGGCTTAATTTCTCTGACACCTTTGCAAAAGATGAAAGGACAAATTATGTCCGTTTGTCAACTGTGGAGAAGGGCATGGGTCTATTAGGAATTAGAATATTATTACAGTAGTTATTTGTGATGATACTCCATAGTAGTATGTGATGAAGGAAAGGGAGTTTAGAGCCACTGCAACTGAAGTTCATCCGATTTTAGAAAGAAATTGCTGTTGTTTGAGAAGTAATCTATCAGTTTCTGCAATCTGAATATGCAGTGCAGCTTTAACACATACAGTGAATACAGTGTTTGATTTTTTTGATAATCATTTACTGTTGCAGCTCTCTCTAAGTATGTTTAATTCAAGACAAGAATCAACGTATTTTTCTCAGGTGAAACATTAAATTTTTCTGACTTGGAAGAGAAAAGCACAATTATTCATTTCAGAATGAATATTTAAATAACTTTGTAATCATCTTTATTCTCAGAACATGATTTTCTTCATTGGGGAAATGTTTTGGGGATGTTTTTTTTCCTTTTTTTTCCTTTCAGTTAAAACACATCAAAAAAGTAACTTCTAGATATAACCAGTTTTAAACTTACAAATGAATGTATCAAAATGGTAGCAGAATTGTAAAGAAAATTGAACTTAAGCTTTTCTGTACCTCTCTGAAAATGAGCATCTAGTGAAAAAATAACTTTGGTGAATCACTTAATCTGCAAGTAACCAAGCAAAGTGCTTGTAGCCATATGGTACAGCATGTATACTTAAACATGAAGATCCTAAAGAAGTAGATCATTTGCAAAATAAAGCCCTACAACTATTAAACATTTTTTCAAACAATATTTGCCACTAATTTTATTATTTGAGTAATAATCTAAAATTATCTGGCATTCTCAATTTTCTGGGACAGGTAATCATCAGATGGGCTTTTAAAATGGATATTCCATTATCTTATGTTTTATAATATGTATGAATACAAAGATATCGGGATATATCTTAGCAAATTTCTCCACAGCTACAGTATTTCTTGTTCCTAGTTCATCAGTTTTATTACTGATACTTGGTTACTCTGTGGCATATTGAAAGGAGTGTAACCCATGCATAAAGCATAGCACAGAGCTGAACACAGCAGTAACAATCAACATATTTTATATCAAATGGACAATATTCAGGTCATATTCTTTATTATGTCATAATGTCAGGTCATAAGCTTTATTATCTTCTTCCATATCACCGTATCATCCATATCACCTTCCTACGCCTATCCCTGAATGTGTCCATAGGGAGCAGCCTGACTGAACAGTAATACTGAGAAAGGCATTGGTACTTTTCATTCATCTTCCCACATTCTGAGCTGGTTACATTTCTCTAAGAGGTTCTTGTTATCTTTTCAATTGCTAGGTATCTTCTGTCCAGTTCTGCAACATATGCAGTGCCAAACACCGAGGGCCAGGAAGCGCAATCCTGGAGATGAAGAAATAGCAATCCCCTCGTTCTCCATGCCAGTCTGGGACACCAACTCTGTTAGGCCCATGCAGAGCCACTGTATTTTCTCTTAGTTGTTATTTCTGTATATAATTCTGGTTGTCATGTAAATCTGGTTTCTATAATTTATCCAGCTTATTGAACATTTTCAGGAAAGAGAAAATATGAGGATCTTCCTGTAATAATTCGTGTGTTACTGTTCCTTTGCTCAGCTCATTACTTAACTCTAGAACAGAACAGAGAAATAAAATGAGAAGGGAAAAAAAAAAACCAAACAGCTTGGAGATCTTTGCTTCCTAATGTGCTTTACAGTTTGGAGCCATATCAGGCTTATAGTTAGATATTGTAAAGGAAGATGAATTGCTATGAATTCAGCTCACCAAACTACTTTAGTCCATGAGGAAACTGCTTCACTTGAGAGCCATAGGAGTCTGGCTGCTTTCAGGGCTTGAAGCTGCCTGTATGCCAAATCATACATTAAATCAACAAACTTATGACCTGTTAATCCCACACATTGACAATTTACCTTGGTTTTATGTTTGTTATGAACTGATTATTTTCTCAATTGATCTTCACAATGCAGTGGTTTAGGGTGGGCTTTTCTCATGTTAAACCCAGCCAGAAACTTAACTTTAAAATGTCAGCAGTAGGTCTTTACACTTAGTTTTTTAAATGTGTTTATAGTGTATGATTGTGCTCAAGTAGAGGGGAAAGAAACCACTTCTGACCTTTCAAAGGTAAGATCTGTAGGAGTTTCTAGTTAAATAAGCTTATTTGGATGTAAACGAAAAACATTTGTATTTAGTTTCAAGAGTGTGCTGCTTTGTTGATCCAAAGGAAGTGATCTTTCAGAATGTCTTCACAGTCACATAATCTCTTTATTAAATTAAACATAAGCACCTTTTCCCTAAGAAGAGTATTTTTTCAGAACTCCTAAGGTGTATTTCCCCTTTTTTAATAACTGGAGTCTGAAAGTAAAGAAAGACATTGTTTTACCATCGGAATTGTGAGGTCGTTAACATCATACGTTCTGAAACAACAGTACAGTGATCCTGCAGTGTATCTGTAAAATTGGAAAATGTAACACCCTTAAGTTCTTCTGCACCTTACTCCCATGTAGGTACACCTTAAAATAATGTATATTGTAGAAACCTGGATTTCTAGTTTATGTAAATTCATTTTACTCTTTTGATAACCTCCCAGCAGCTGGCTGAGCTGGTCTAGCAATCTGAAGAGTGATTTTTGTTGCCCGCTGTGTAGATCTGTGTAATACTGGAATAAAATTTGAAGTGTATTAGAAACACTAGGATTTACTCTGCATGGTTACAGAGACAAAATTATCATTAAAAGGATAGTTCTCTCAAAAACATAGCAATCATATTATTTTGTGATAATGCAAACAAGGGGGGAAAAAAAAGTGGTGCAGACTATTTATGGACATGGAGTAGATGAAATAACAGAAGGACAAGAGCTTTGTAGTGTAGAGCACAGTCTGCCTATGTCAAGCTTCACCTGTAAGAATTACTGCCTGGCTCTGTAGCAGTTCATTTTCAGCAGCTGGTACACATTCTCAGGTATATTGTTCATTTATCCTTTCTTTACTACACTGATCAGGAAAGCTGCTTTGATTCCTTGTAAACAAAATGCTTCAGTGATCTCAAGGGCTGTTTTACCATGCTTGAACTATTGCATGTCTGTAGACAAGTTGAGAAACTGTCTCAAAAACCTCTTCCTCAGTAGCTTTAAGTAGCTTTTTCTCTATTGTACCTTAAGAGTGCACTGTGCAGTTCCATAAGCTGTCAGCTTGCAGGAGGAACAAGTCAAATTACTACTGTACAGTTATGCCACAAAATGTTCTGTAACTCAAAGTTATATGATAATTTAATGCAGCTATATTGTTTACTTTGGCTTGGCCTTAAATTGCCTTAAGCATTTGAGCGTTCAGCACCTCAGTTTGCTAGCCTGCCATCACTAGCAATCATATTGCTTTATACCCTGGCATATTCTTTGCATTATGCAAGTAATTTTAAGTCAGTGTTTGAAAATCTAATCAAAATCTTCTCCAAATCCAAAGCTGCTTTCATTCAGGCTTCAGGGAAGACTCTTTTCGTGTTCCTGAATTCTAAGTTTGCTCATTAAGATTCAGGAAGAATCTTACAGTACAGTCCTGACTTTGAGTCACTTTTCTTCCTAAGAAGCCTTCACATAATAAAAAATGTCTGAGGTTGGAGTCTAAAATATTCAGCTACCTGAGAGTTTTTCTTTTGGAGAACAGTTCTGCCTAAGAAGTAGCCTAAAATTGCATAACTCTTCACAAAAGTACAGAATAGCAGCTACCCAGCTTCATCAGAGCTTAAGATCTCAATCCATTTATCAAAGCGCTTTTGCTTCTAAGGTAAACTTAAGGTAAATTTATCAAGGGAAGTGCTTTGGTTATGATGAATCTTTGGATTATTCTTCTCATACGCCTTCATTTGAATACTTTGAGACCCACAATGCTGTTGCTCTTTTAAGAGATTTCTTGGGGGATCTTTTTGTGGCTCAGACAGTGTCTGAAAGGGACAGGGGCAGGCGCTGCAGATATATTGGCTCTTCTTGAAGTTGAGAGGTGCATGAATGACTTTTGCCATCTCCTACTACAGGTGAGTTTTATGTGTTTACCAGTTAGTAGCTGTGTCTCAGTGGGCTTGAAGCAGCTCCTCTACCATATACTAAATCCACTGTTCAGTGTGTGGACAAGAGCCTGCTGCCCAGCATTCAGTGGGTCAGTTAATACTTCTAGTCATTCCATAATACAAAGTATGTTCTTCGGCTGTTGTTGCATCTGACAGCTGCTCACCAGTGGGAAACCTTGAACACAGCAGGTATTGTGTGTTGGAACAGGAGTGGGTTGTCTAGTGTCTTACACTGTTCTTGTGTTTCAGAGGCAAAGCAAAGACAAAACGAGTTGTTTTTAAGATCCACATCATACTCCTATTTGAAGTAAGTGTTTTCATGGAGAATTGCTGCCAAGGACTTGGCTGCAGATTTTTCAAGGACTACTGTAAAGGGATGTTTTGTAATGTGTTTTTAGTAGGAAACTGCTGCAACATCTTTTTCCAAATTTTGGCTGATAGCTGGGTAGAGGCTCTCAGTATTCTGTGTAGACTGCACAGGTTGGCTTATCAAGTTTTCATCTTAGGAAATGTCATCATTTTCTACCTTAGATGTATTGGTTATTCAGCTAGAGTCTTATAAGCAGGCACCATTTTACTCTTTGCTTTTGTTTACAGTACCACAGTGGTTTTCTGCTTGTTGAGTTGACTGCAATCCAAAGGAGCTGGAATTGCAAATAACATCTTAAAAGGAAAACCTCGCATTGGATTTCCCATTTCTGAAGTGGACTGGTCCCTGCCTGTGTCATTTGGCAACAGTTTGAAAAGATACCTGCAGGAAAATTCTTACCTAATGCTGAACAAGGACCCTTACCTAAATGAGGAAAATCTCTCTGGGAAGTCTGTTTTCTCTCTCTCCTGTTCAGTTGGACACTTCAGACTCCATATCCATGCAGCATACTATCACCCATGTGTACAAATGCTAGACACAACATCAGAGTCTTTTCCTCCCTAGAAGAGCTTGTCCCCTGAGCAGATCTTTGCTAGACACTAGCTCTAAATCAATTGCTGTACTCCCAAGACAATTTAAACAGAAATTCTCAGAAACTGAGTATGTTGGAGGTCCAAGAGCAGCAGGCAAGAACTGAGCTAAAAGGTCCCAGAGGAGCATTGACAAGGGGTTGTGCTCAATGATACAGAGAACAAGAAGCAACCCCTGAGGGCCACCCTTGAGGCCCACCCTGGGAATCCAATATAGTTTTCTTCCCCCAGATGCAGGGCACAGGGGCCAGCTTCATGGAGCAGGAGCAGCAGGCACCTGGCCAAAAGGGCCCAGAGGAGCCCTGGCGAGAGGCTGTGCTCAGTGCTGCAGAGGAAGGCAAAAAAACCAAAAACCCAGACAGCTGTTAGGCCTCTGTGGAGGGAAAAAAGCCTTCCTGCCCCCAGCTGCAGGGCAGCAGAGGCCACATTGTAGAGCATGAGCAGCAGGCAGTGATCTCACAACATGGGCCAGAGGAGGCCTGGCAAGGGGCCATGCTCAGTGCTGCAGAGGAAGGCAAAAAACCCCCAGAGATCAGGGCCGGTCTGCCCTGGGGGAAAATTTCTTCCTGACCCCAGCAGAGCTGGCGATCAGCTGCTCCTTGAGCATGTGAGCAAGACCTGCCTCCTTGACCAAGGGCTGGTCATGCCTCCCAAGAGATACCCAAGCCCTGTTCTCCCTTAACCTGAGCCATCTCAGGGGCTTTCAGAGTGGCCAAACGAACCCAGTCTGATTGACCTTGGGGACAAGAATCATTCCTGCCCCTGGCAGGACACCAGTGGGTGTTCCAAAGCCCTGAGACCCCTGGTAACATTTCTGCATCCCCTTTCTTATGGCTGTTGCCCCTGGTTTCATGGGGGTTGGGCATGGTAAGTTCTGCAGTGCTCCCCAAAAAGGCATTTCCTTGGTCTGGCCACAGCTATCCAGCTGAAAAGGTCTGATAGCTTCAGGCACCTGCCGGTATTGATGGTTCTTGTAATCTCCAGCAGCCTTGTCCAGCCTCTGGTCTCCTTCCTTCAGCCCTCTTCAAGTAATTCCAACTCCTCAAGAAGTCTTGGACATCTTCTGGCTGCCCTCAGGCCAGTTGTGTGGCACTGGAACACAGGAGGATGCCCCCTTTTATACTACCTGGGAGCATTCTGACTGCTGCGCTGCCAGTGACACTATGGGCATGATGGGGACAACCTGCACAGCCCTGCCAGCTGCTTCTCCACCCCG